ACAGCTACTGCCATATGGCAGAAGAGAGTCTGTCAGAAGAACCCTTAAGGAAACACAATATGGCACATGGAATTTCATACTTGTTTTTAGGACCTGAGAGAGAGGAGGAATTTCTCTTTCAAATCACATAAATTACACTATTTTCTCCCCTTTCCCCTTAAATTTGGTGAAAGTGAAGTTTGACACAAAGTAATTCACTTTGGTTCCCTTGTTAGGAACAGGAAAAGTCAAATGATTGCAAAAGGATCCAGGTTTTTTGCCCTTGTGATGTGTTCTTGTCCTGGGAGCTCACACTGTGTTTGAAGGCTATCCAATTTAATTACCATCAACAAGCGTTTTGAACACTTATGTGTCAGGCACTATACTAGGCACGAGAGATATAAAACTAAGACAAAACAGCCCTTGTCCTTATGTAGCTTACATTCTGCTGGGGAGAGACGACATGTACTTGCATAAGTACAAACAAAATTCGTACAAAGTAAATGCAAAGTTATTGGGGGTGGGTGGAGAGTGTGATCGTTTGGGATAGAGTAGTCAAGAAAGGATTCATGTAATATATGTGAAGGGAATTAGGGATTCCAAGAGGTAGAAGGGAAGGGAGAACACATTCTAAACATGGGGGAGAGCTTTTGCAAAGATAGAGGCAGGAGATAGAATGTTGTCTAGTGGGAAAAGGAAGGCCAGTTTGGCTGGGGTGTAGAGTACTTGAAAAGAAAAAGTAATCTAAATTCAGTCTAGAAAGAGAGGTTGCGAAAGGTTTTAAATGCTAAACAGAGGAGTATTCTATTTTATCCTAGAGACAGTAAGGAATCAAAGAAGCTTCTTGAGCAAGGGAGTGATGTGACCAGATGTGTGCTTTAAGAATAGTGGTTTGGGAGGGCAGAGCCAAGACAGCAGGTTAAAGGCAGGGACTCACCCAAGCTCTTTCAGATTCCCTTCCAAACAACTTTAAAGTAATGCCTTAAATTGAATTATGGATCAGCAGAACCAACAAAAATTGGGGTGAAACAATTTTCCAGCTTAAAACAATTCAGGAGGTTGGCAGGAAAGGTTGGCGCCCATCACAGGGGTAGTTGTCAGTCCTAGAGCACAGTGAAGCACATTGGGAATGACTGCATTAGTGTCAGTTGTGACTTCCTGAGCTCTTGGCCCACAGACAGTAAGGGACTTGACAACTGGTCAGAAGATTACAGGGGACCCTTTGCTGATACAGGGTACAGGACCCTGTTGCATTGCCCATATATAGTTCCAGGTTATAGTTTCAGGGCAAAGAATAACACTAGCCTTTTCAGCTGCAGGGGAGCAGAGGCCCTAGTCACAGTTCCAGGACAGAGAAGAGTACCTGTGGTCACTCACGGAGGAGCAGGTACCCTAGTCTCAGGGCCAAGGCAGAAGGAAGGACTGACACTTGTGACTACAGGAGAGCAGGCGCCCATCTCACAATTCTAGGGTTATAAGGAGTGAAAGCACTTATGTCCAAAGGGGAGCAGGGGCTCTGGTCACAGTTCCAGGATGGAAAAGAGTGCTTGTGGTCACTCACAGACCAGAGCACAGGCCAGGAGAGCAGTAATGACCACACCTATCCTTAGATCATACCACCTTGCAAGAACTGAAAACTTACAGATCCCCAGAACTAGCTCTGAAAGCAGCTACATTAAAAATCTGAAGCTTGGGACAATGCCCCTCTACCCTGAGAGCAGAGACCAACTTTGACATAAAGTTAAAAGTCAAGAAATAGGCTACAAAAATGAGCAAACAACAACAGCAACAAAAGAATCTGACCATAAAAAATTACTGCAGTGACAGGGAAGATCAAAACACAAACTCAGAAAAAGACAACAGTGTCAAAACAGCTACAACCAAAGCCTCAAAGAAAAATGTGAATTGGTTATAGGCCCAAAAAGAATTCCTGCAGGCACTCAAAAGGGATATTTTTTAAAAAATCAGATAAGAGAGGTAGAGGAAAAAATGGGGAAAAAATGATAGTGATGCAAGAAAATTATGCAAAGAAAGTCAACATCTTGATAAAAGAGTCTCACACGCACACATAAAAATACTGAAGAAAATAACGCCTTAAAAAATAGAATAGGCCAAATGGGAAAAGAGGTACAAAATGTACTGAAGAAACAAATTCCTTAAAAAGTAGAATTGGACAAATGGATAAGGAGTTACAAAAACTCACTGAAGAAAGCAACTCCTAAAAAATTAGAATTAAGCAATGACTCCATGAGACATCAAGAAACAACAAAACAAACTCAAAAGAATGGAGGAGGAAAAAAAGAAGAACATGTGAAATATCTCATTGGAAAAAACAACTGATCTAGAAATAAGAAGGAAATAAAGTGAATAATCAAGGATGACTCAAGTTTTGAAACTGGATGGCTAGAAGGATGATGGTACCCTCAACAGAAAAAAAGGGAAGTTAGGAAGAAGCTTGGGGTGAAAGATAACGAGTTCAGTTTTCTCTGTGACACCTACAGGACCTCTAGCTGGAATCAGGACATAGGCAAGAGCTAGATATATTGATCTGGTATTCATCTCCATAAAGACAATGGAAGCCATGAGGGTTGATAAAATCATCAAGAATAGAGAAATGAAGATGAACTAGAAGCATACTATATATTTAACTATAGCAACATTTTAAAAATGATTTATATATGTATGTGTGTGTGTGTATATATATATATATATATATGTGTGTGTGTGTATGTGTATGTGTGTGTGTGTGTGTTCAGCTATAGGTATCAGAGGTATTGAATATATGACAGATAATTTGACAATGATACCTATTTGTCTATTTGTATTGCAAAAAAATGATTACTCATAAAATAAAATGGGAAGAAAGTTTAGTAAATAAAGGGAGAAAAAGGCCAGGCAGACTTAAATAGTGGCAGGTAGTGGAAAGAACATTGAACTTGAATTCAGGAGAACTAGACTGAGAGTCAGCTCTATGTGACTTTGGGAAATTCACTTTTACTTCTCTGGACCTCAGTTTCCTCATCTGTCAAATGTGAGGTTTTCACTAGGATCACACTCTGATAATCTTTTCTAATACCTTATGCAAGCATTATGTGTTCTAAGGTCCTTTCCAGCTCTAATGGTCCAAGCTAACAGGATAGGTCAGTCAGTCAATCAGCAAGTATTTCTTAAGCACCTACTACATGCCAGGCACTGTGCTAAGCTCTGGGAATACAAAATAAGGCCAAAATAAAAACCCCTAAATAATCTTGCTCTTAAGGAGTTCACAGTCTGGGTGAAACAACAATTCAAATAACAATGTACAAACAAGCTATATGTAGGATAAGTGAGAGTGGTGTCAGAGGGAGGGCATTAAGATTAAGGAGAAATGGGAAAGGCTTCTTGCAGAAGGTGGGATTTTAGCTGAGACTTGAAGAAATCCAGGGCCAGGAAGTAGAAATAAGGAAGAAGAGCATTCCAGGCAAGGGGCACCTAGTGAAAATTCTTATAGCTGTTAGATGGAGTGTCCTATGGGAAGAACAGCAAAGAGTCCAGTGACATTGGATTGCAGAATACATGTAGGGGAGTGAAGATGGGTTTCAAAATAATCATGTCAGCTGATGCCTACAAAAAGAGAAATCAGGTTGCAAAGTCTACAGCCACCACCATATGGTGTTGATGAAACGACTCAACTTTGTAAAAACGACTTCAACTCAGTGTGCAGACCTTGAAATGTTCTGTTCTGAACACTTAGTTTTGTTCAACATATTTGACAAATCTATTCTATTAGGAATATATTATCAGGACCTGAAAGAAACATATTTTTCTATGTCTCCATGAAAACTCCCTCGAAAAATGTCATCTGTGGACACATTGTTTTGTTGACGTTGCTGGCATTTTTGGGTGTAACTTATAAAATCCTATGCATGAAAGTAATTGCTACAATTCACTTGTCAGAAATTGAACTGATTTTTCAGATTCTTATTCTGTTTTGCTCTCAACTCTTTGTACCTGCACTATTGAGATTTTCCTATCTTCCTTCCATCTCCTTCCTAATCTTTTCTTCACATTGTTGATCCAGTAGTCTTCTTAATTTATCACTTTGATCCAGATGTTTCTGTATTCAAAAACTTTCCTGTTTTGGGGGGTTCCCTGTTGCCCAATGAATAAAAAGTATCAGTTCCTGATCATGACATTTAAGGTCTCCCACAATCGGATCCCAAATTACTTTCCAGCTTAATTCATAGCGTTTACTTTTACCTACTCTGTGTTCAAATCAAACTGAACTACTGTTTCTACCATATTTTCGTCTGGTCCTCTCCCATCTCCATGTTTTGGTTCATCCTCCTCTCCATGGCTAGAGTAGACCCCCTCTCTTCCTTTCTGCCCATTCAGGCCATCTTATTTTAAGACCCAACTCAGGTGCCACTTTCTCTATGAAGCCTTCCATGACCCCTTTCTCATTGCCGCACTAGTTGAACGTAATCTCTGTACTTTTCTCCTTGCACTCTGCCTGGATCTCTCCCTCGAATTTCTCATATCCTCTCTTGTAGCCTACTTCTTTTGTCTCCTGGCAAGCATGCCATTTCCCTCCTCTTAGAACATAAGCCCTTGAGAGCAAGGTCTATGTCCTATCTACTTCTGTATCCATAGTGTCCGCTGTAATGCCTTGCTAACAGAGGTGATGAATAAACATGTGATTCCAACTGAATTAAATCAGTCTGTGTCACACAGAGATTCAGTGGCAGCTGATTCTTCTAACACCCAGTCCAGTGTTTTTATATTAGCTATGTGACCATGGGCAAGTCGTTCTCCATCTTGGAGCTCTATTTCCTCACCTGTGAAGTAAGGCTAAGCGAGCCTGAAGCCCCCAGTTCTAAATCCTATGATCCCATGAAGTTGTTTCTGTTCCAGATGATTCTCAAGGGTTGAAAGGACAAGGATTGAGTTGGTTGTATTGTCAAGACCCAACTGTCTCAAAGACACAGCATGATGCAAAATACCCCTTTTTACTATATATATCTTTTTGTTATTGCCTCTAGACAGAGATTACTTCAGTCTGTGTGACAAGCAGCCAATCGGAAGGCTCCTTTTCCGGCAGTTCTGCGAAACTCAGCGTGAGCTGGAGTGTTGTATTAGGTTCCTTGACTCTGTGGTAAGTCAATGCTGTTGATATTCCTGAGGCTTTGTTACTCTTTAGCCCTTCGTGATAAACATGTGAAAATAACAACATAATCCTCTCAGTTCAAAAGGACGAAGAATAAATCATTTTTTGGAAAGAAGTCCTCAGCACTGGCTTAGCTATATTTAGTTTGGTGAAAAGAATCCTGGGCTGCTGGTTTAGAGGCCCAGGTACTAGTTCTACTAGGTACCAGGACTATTGAGAAGCAGGGTGAGCATAGGAAAGTTACACCCTGCTCTGGGCCTTAGGCTTCTTATCTTTAAAACGACAGGGTTTGACTAATCGGAGGATGATTTGTAAGGCCCCTCTAGTTCTCACGTTATACAAATCTCATGCATAACACGGTAGTTGGGATTGTGGGTCTGCCTCCTAGAATCATAGAATCTTAGAGTTGGAAGATCCCTCAGAGACCATCTAAACCAACTGTACATGAAGCAAGAATCCTTTTGCTAACATGATCAACTTTTGGTAACACTGCTATTTATCTAGCTTCTGCTTGAAGATCTCTTAGTGACAGAGAGCTGACTGCCTTTCAAAGCTGAACATTCAGTTATTGGATAGTATCATCATTAGGAAGATTTTTCCTTCTCTCTAGTCAAAATTTGCTCCTTATTAATTTAATAACAATAATAGCCACCTCTTATATGGTGGTTTAAGTTTTCAAAATACGTATTTACAAATATTATTTCATTTGATCCTCAAAATCCTTTGAGGTAGACACAGTTATTGCCTCAATTTACAGATGCAGAAAATGAGGCAGTGAAAGATCAAGTGATTTGCTCATGGTTACACAGCTAGTAAGTTTCTGAGACGGGATTAGAATTCAGGTCTTCCTGACTTCAGGATTCTATCCACTGTGCCATCAAGCTGCATCCCACTTTTTTCTCTCTGCTCCCAATTCTTCTTTCTAGGGTCCAAACAGAATAAATTTAACCCTTCTTCAACAAAAATTTGAAGACAGCTACCATTAACCCCTAACTTTTCTTTTTTTCAGGCTAAAGATCACCATTTTTCTTCTACTGGTTCTTTGTGGTATTATCCCCATTACCCTCATCTGGACACATTCATAGCTTGTCATTATCCTTCCTAAAATCTAACTTCCAGAACTGGGCACAATGTTCCAGAGGTGGTCTGAAAGGGAAGAAAACAGTGGAGCTCTTGCCCATCTCATTACACTTATCACAGTGTCTGGTGCACAGTAGGCACATAATAAATGCTTGTTCCTTTCCCTCACCTTCCCCCTCCTCTGAAACCTAGAGGAGACGGCAGTCATATGAGGAGTCTGTGTGCTGACCTCACTAAGGTCACAGGTTATAGACATGAGGAAGAAGGCAGTTTCAAAATATCCTTTGATTGGAAGGTAATTACAAGGATCTTGGATTCACCTGTTTTTTTACTGTGGTCATAGAAAGAAAAGAGCATTTAACTGTCTTTCATTGGATTGGAGAAAAAAAACCCAATATTTTACTTTTTAAGCCCTTTTTCATAAGGGGGCAGTAAAGAGATCCAGGGTGGGGGGAGTATCTGGATCAGAGTAGTAAGCATATGAAATAAACTTGTGGAATTTTCCAGGACATGCTTTATTCGGCCCACTGAGAAAATTTATGAGGTTTTAAAAAAAATCTAATGATGCCCATTTTCATTTGTCCTACAAACCAACCCTTTCTTTGGTACTACACCCACATTTGGGGGGGGGGGATGTAGGGTAGAGCTTGTTTTTCATCATGGACTTATTAAGTAATTTTTACACATGCAAGGTATTGAATGGAAAGGTGACCTGAGCTAAGGCCAATTCTGTCCCTTTGACGCTCTGTACCCTAGCTCCCATCAATTATTGGCGTCTTCTTCTTGTCCTCACATCAGATGACTATCCATTATAATGCCTCTTTTTAACATGAAGAATTTATTGAGTTTCCCAGTGGTGGCATAATTTCTCATTTGAAGAATTTTTTTTTTCCAGTGGGAAATGAGGAGTGAATGGGTGGAGGAAAGGGTCTCCCCAGCATGGGCGGATGCCAGAACTCTTTCTGGCAAGACAAGCATAATTCACACAGTCACTACCTCCCCATGAAACTTCCACCAAGTCTGCCTTTTTTAAAAAGAAGTTGTCCTCTTTGGATTCTGACGTAGCCCCTGGTAAGGGAAACTTTCCTCGGCTTTCTTAATGACTGCATTTCTCCAGTCAAGTAGAGTACTGTGGTTTTGTTTTTAAAAGGAGGGCTTGGGTAATTTTATGGCCACTCATACTGTTTCTAAGTCATTAAGCAGACTACTTGAGTAATCAGAGCATAAGCATCAGGACATGAGGGACGCTAGAAGACACTTTCATTGCTTTCCCACATTGGGGCAAGGTGTTACACAGTGTGTTACTTGGGGACTATGGTAAGGTAGGGAAAGATAAGAAATGGCATACTAGGTTTTCTTTTATGGTATATTAGAGGGTCTGCATGGGGCAATATTTCTGTTTGGTACATGGCTACCAGAGGCAAATATGAAAGAAATTCCAAATAGATATATTTTACCATCTTCTCTTTTGTGGTTCTGTTGGATATTCACGAAGTCCAGTGGAGAATCTCTGGAATAAATGTGGGACTACAAGACCCTTACAGGAAATCCTGGATCACAGCCTCCCTTGATTTATTCCTCATTGCTCCCCTCAAAATTTGAGACTCAAGGAATATGGGCATCTCTCCGATGGTGGGCATCTTTCAGGGTAGATAATGACTTTATAAACTGTCTCCTGGTTAGATCCAATGATGCCATACACATAGGATTATGTCTGTTTATCCATTTTCCTGGAATGTTATTGTATTGCTTGAAATCAGTGGGTCATTGGCCTGAGCATAGGAATGTCTTGTTTAGAGTAAAATTTTCATTGCAGCAACAGTACTACCTTTTCTCTGAGAATTTATGAAAAACACCCAGTTTGTCTTTACTCAATTGTCACCATTTCATCAGTCTCAGCTCTTGTTTGAGAAGGAGAGAATAGGCTAAAACTCATTACTTGAGTTGTCACTACTGGGATGCCAGATCTTGGGGACAGAGCTGTCTCAAAAATGTCTCTTCTCAAAATAGTTGTGAGGTTAGAAAATGAGACAAAACGGCCTATGTTTATGTTAGTCTCTGGGAGAACAACCTGAAAAAAAAATAAGAGATGCTGGAAGTAGCCATGAATTTCTAAAGGAATACAATAGCCCTGCTGTAAAAGAGAGGGTGAACTAGAGGGATGTAAATAGGACGATAAAGAAGGGGCATGAATGCTCCTTAGAAGTGACTCCTGGGGCAGCTAGGTGGCATAGAGTACCGGCCCTGAGGTCAGGAGGACCTGAGTTCAAATACGGCCTCAGACCAAACATTTGACACTTACTAGCTGTGCAAGTCACTGAACCCCAATTGCCTAAAAAAAAAAAGTGACTCCTTACTGCTTGAGAACTCTACCTCGGCATGAGTGAAAGAAAGGCAATGGTCCCTTTCCCTTCTTCAGAGTTTTCGTTTATCTGAGACTAGAAATTGTAATTCTGTTAAAAGAATGAAATGGAGTGGAAGTCATAGAGCCAGAAGTGACTTTAGAGATCATACCGTTCAGACCTTTAATTTTACCTTTGGGGAAATGGAAGCCTGAACAGTTAGGTGGTTTGCTTGTGTGAAACGAGGTCCTCGGGCTCCTGATCCAACACATTTTCCGCTATGTTCACCTCTGATGCTTAGTAACAGTGTGACGTTGGGCAAATCCCATAACTTCTTTAGGCTTCCGTTTCCTCAATGATAATATGAAGGGGGAGTTGGACTAGGTGACCTGTAAAGTCCCTTCCATCTCTGTATATGACTCTATGAACTTATGCCTATTTTCAGATGAAAAAATTAAGGTTCAAAGTCAAAGGAGAGAACCAGCATTCATTAAGCATCTGCTATTATGCTAAGTGCCTTATAAATATTATCCTCATAACTCTATTCTGTTATTATATTCACTTTGTAGTTGAGGAAACTGAGATAGACATCAAGTGACTTGCCTAGGGTCACATAACTGGTAAGTGTAGGAGGCTGGATTTGAATTCAGGTCTTCCTGACTTCAGACCCAGTGCTCTATCCATTATACCACCTAGCCATCTAGTGAAGTAAGTCATCTAATTTGCCTTCTGGCACACAGCTGGTTCATAGGCTCAAGTCTTCTGTTTGAATTCTCTTTGTACTATGGCAAATTATTCCAAAATTTTTATCTTCTCACCTACCCCATTACAGCAACCAGATACCACAAACTCATGTGAGTCAGGCCCTCCTTCCTCAAGTCTTATCCTTCTCTGGGCTTGTATCAGGTGCCTCCTGGCATGCCAAGAAGACACTTATGGGCAGTTAAAGGCTCAAGCACGGCTTCACTAAATAGCTTGGGGATAACATTTGGATATTTTAAGTACATTATAGATTTGGGCATTATAGATTTTTCATAAAACTTTCTCCAAGAATCTTAGATCTGAAAGAGAACTTACAGGTGAACCTTTCAGTTTTCAGAGTAGAAAACTGCATCCGAGAAAGGGACAGTGATTTGCCCAGGGTCACACAGATACATAATTCACCCCTCCACTTCATAGATGAATGCCCTCAGGACTCCAGTCTATGGTTTAGCTTTCTGTGCCCACTTAGTTCATCAGAAAGAACACTGGATTTGGCATCTGATGACCTGGATTCTAATCCTGTTACTTATATCCCAGCCAAGTCACTTCACCTCTTGGAGCCTCATCATCTCCTTCGCAAAATTAGGAGATTGGATTAGATGAGCTGTAAAATTCTTCCCTCCTCTAAATCTGTGAGCGTCCCTCTGAGGATGTCTGGCTACAAAAGGAAGCCAGAGCCAGTATAGATGAAGACTTGGCTTCTTCTAAGTAGAGGGATCGTAATGAGCAGAATCTATGGACTTGAGAGTGTCCACTGAGTGGGAGCTTGATGATTACAAAAGCCAGAGACCAAGAGACCTCATT